AGGAAGGAAGGAAGGAAGGAAGGAAGGAAGGAAGGAAGGAAGAAAAAGGGCTGGCCAGGTAGTGAGAGTAGGAGGATGAATATTTATAACACCTTTGAAAAAGAGACACCACCTCTACAGTGGCCCACCAAGAGCAAGGCCTGATGGCAGAAGAATCACAGCCCCATCAACACCTGATCTCAGATCATGACTGAGGTCATTCCACTTAATAACCTGCTCCTGGACATAAGAACCCCAAATACTTCCCGTCCCTAGTCCTCTATACCCTCTGCAGTCGGTCTGGACCTCCACTTAACAAACCCTTCGCCACCAACCCACCAATGCTTTCTTGCTGAGCTAAGGCCTCACCTGCCTGTAACACCTGTTAAGGCAGAATCAAAGGAAGCCCGAAGGGTCATCTAAAACCCAGACCCACCTTTGAGGATGGTATTGTCTTCACACTTCCGTTCTCCACAGCACTAAAATCCAGTTTGCCATCATCTTTACTTCCTATAGCTTTTAGTCCTTGCAAAAGAATGTCACGTAAATTTTGATAGAGAGGTTTTTCAGCATAGTCCAGTAATTTCACAGTTTCCATGTACTTAGCAATTTCACCTAAAATAATAACACACGTTTAATTACTTTTAGTCACAAGTCTGATGTCTATCTCATTTCTAAAAAACAGTCCACAACCAATGGAAAATTATAATAAAAGTGTGCAACATATTAAAATAAAAGCAAAGTGTGCTTTTAAATCCAGGAGCTATCAGGTAAGTAAAACAATATATTTTGAGTTACAATGTAAAAGACATTTCTGCAACCCTAAGAGACAGTAAAAGAACATAAATTAAACTTCAAAGACCCTAATATGTAAATATAAAAAGTCACTGAGAAAGTAGTATGCCCTGAGGTGCAGTGACCCCAGGCAGTCTTGCAAGAGAAAGCTGCATGGTGTGAGGTGAGAAACAGAACCCAGAGAGCAGACAAGAAGCAGCAAGACAGGTCCAGAGAGGCAGGGTGCCTCAAGGCAGGAGAAAAAACTCACAGGACAGGCTTGGGTACCACTCACAAAAAATTTCCCTTGACACTGCTTCTTCATCATCAGTTTTTTGATATGCAACCATCACTAGACTCCTGACCTAAAACCTGCCCTGTGTGTCTCTCTGGTCTGTGAAAATGCTGGCCTCCCAGCCCAAGCCAACATCTCATCAGTTTTCCTTCTATTCCACATCAAACACATATGCTCTCTTGCCAGAAGAGCATCCGTCCACAGACAAATATATAACCACTAGCTTAACTATTCAAGAACCACTGTACACCAGGCACCATCCTGGACAGTTGGGATGTGGAGTTGGGGGAGGGGGGGATCAATTCTCCACTATCTTAACTGGGTGAAAAGGACCCTGAAACACCCAAGACAATATGTATAAAGATATGAAGTATCCAAGAATAAAAATATTATTTTAAATATTTTAAAACACCTGAAACAAACATCGATGTGTTTGACAAAATAACAAAGTTTCTGTTTTAGAAGAGACAGTAGAATTCCACCTTTACCACAACCTACACAGAACAGAACAGCAAGTATACTTTAGCTGGCAAAGAAAGACAGGAAAGTAAGTCAAAGGGCATCAAAGTGTCTTCAGGAGCAAACAGCTCAACTGTACTTACTTCAAGATCTATGACAAAATGGTCAATTACAAGTTTTTATAATCCTGGCTTTCAGGAAGCTGAGGCAGGAAGAGCACAAGTTCAAGGCAAGCTAGGGCTACATATAGAAACCAAGTACTGGCCTGAAGAAAGGCAGTGAAGAAGGGAGAGAGAAAGGGAGGCAGGGAGAAAGGGAGAAAAAGAGGGAGGAAAAGAGGGAAAGAGGGAGGGAAGAAGGGAAGGAGGAAAAAGGAAACAACAAAGCAAAATTCCTAAAGAATCTACAAAGCTGCTAAAAATAATAGGTAGATACAGCACAGTACAGAATATACATAAAATATATTTTAAAAATCTACCCTATTTTTATATACTATTAAAAATTGAAAATGAAATGTTCAAACCATAACACAACATAAAAAACCATCAACTACCCAAAGTGACTGTGTAAGATTTCTGCAGAGACCAAAATACAAGCAGGAAGGATTTAGTGGAAGAAGTGCCACAGTGGGTTAGAAGATTCATTATTACAAAGACAGTGGCTCCCCAAATCAAACAAGAATCACTCCAAACTCAAAGCCCAACAAGCATGAGAAGGATTGTATACGTGAAACTCGATGATGCTCAAACTTCAACAGAAATGCAGTCAAGAACAAAGTCAAGAGGCTGGAGAGAGGCCCAGCAGTTAAGAGCACTGGCTGCTCCCCCAAGGACGTGAGTTCCATCCTCAACACCCACATGGTGACTTACAACCATCTGAAACTCCAGTTCCAGGAGAAAGAACACCCTCTACTGGCCTCTAGGCACTAGGCACGCATGTGTTCTGTAGACATACATGCAGGAGAAACACCCATACACATAAATATTACATTTTAAAAAATTCTTTAATTAAGGGGGAAAAAAAAGTCAGGATAAGTACTTAACCCACCAGACCCTGCCTGAAGACAAAGCTGCAATATCAGCTACCATAAGGGCCAGGAACAGACAAAAAGGACAGCCCACAGCTGAGTTTTGGCAAAGGAGATACCAGAAGATAAAGGAAAGTCTTGAAGAAAAGATGTTAAATCAACTAACTGAATATGACCCCTTCACACACACAGTCAAGTGAACCACAGGCAGTATGTATGGGAAACTGGCAATGTACAGAGGACAAGTTCTAGAAATGCAGTAGAATATAAGAAATAATGGAATGCAGATGTAACAGAGCACCAGGCAGACAGGTACAACAGAAGTCTGAGTATACTCGGTCCAGGACTGGGAATAAAAATGGATGGTGACAGAAGAGCACACTGCCATATCCTTCCCCACTCCTGCCCTCAGCAGTCTTCCCTCAACCAGGAACATTTCATTTCTCTAGACAGTAAGGCCACTGACAACCCTCTCTTTCAAGCTGTAGACTTTTGGTCAAAGTAAAAGCCAATGATCTCATCATGACCAAAAGGCCAGTCCTCACACGCTCTAGGACAGTCCTCCCTACCTCCACACAGCTCACTTTCTCACCTCCTTCCAACAACTGCTGTGGTGTCCCCTCTGCAAGGCCATCCTTAGCCACCCTGGTCAAAATTTAAATTCTCTTCCCTACTCTCTGTGCCATCTCCATATTCCCAATTCCATTTCCTGTTTTCTTATTCTCCACAGGACTAACAATATAATATGCTAACAAAAATCACTGTTACATACTTATCCATGGCTCCCAAGGAAAATGCTAGCATCCTGAGGGGAGAGTCTGATGCAGCCTGCACTGGGAGCAGACTCTCGCACATAATACAACCTGCATAAACACTGCCTTAGTCAACAAAACATGCTTCCCTTCCTGAAAACAAAACAGCAACTGTATAAGGCTACAAAGCTCAATGACCACTCACTGTGCAAAGCTGCTTTTGTGAAGCTGCACCTCCAGCAACAGGAAGGTCCTAAAATGCCCAATCTCACAGGCTGAGGGCTTTTCCTTCCAGAAAACAAAAGCTCTATAAGAGTCTACCGAAGCCTTCCTTACCTGGCTTGTTTTTCTCAGGAAAGCATTTCTCCATCAAAGCCGAGATATTGTCTCTGTATCTGTAGAGGAAGGAAAAAGTCCTTAGTTAGAAGTGTGGTCTCCGACCTCATTTGCTACCAGGACATACCTCAGCAGGCAGCTCCTCAAAAGAAAACAGCAAAGTTCACAGGGCCCTGCGGTCTAAGCTGTGCCTTCTAACTTATGTCACTGAGCCAGGTGTGCTAATTGGGGTGTGCCTGTAAAGGCAACACTCACACGGCAAGGCAGGAGGACTGCTCAACAAAGCACTGCCTATTAAAAAAATAAATAAAACAAAAACAATAATAATCTCGAGAGCAAAACCCTGAAGATGCTGTCAAGAAATTCTGACTAAAATCCTTTGCCCCATTACCACCCAACCCAAAATAATATATGCTGTCCTTACCTAATTTTGGAATCTCTAACGTAGTTAGGATCTTTCAAGTTATCCTCCCAAGGAAGACAGCCACTGAGCCACTGGATCATGCAATAACCAAGTATTTCCAAATCACCACGCCGTGAGGGGGCTACAAACACAACAGAAACTAAGCACAGTAAAACAGCTTTCCAGAAAAGCATCAGGACAGAGAAATCTACTCAGATCTACTTTTTAGCAGAAACATTTACCTGCATGTAATGAAAGCACTGAACATTGGGCTATATCTTTATCTCCAACTAATAACTTACTTAAAACCCAAACACATAAGCCTTAAGGTTTCAAATTGCTACTACTGGTCTAGGAAGTGAAGTCTGAAGACACCTCACATCTGCTGTTATCTCTGGGAGCCTTGAAGACACTGAAATATTAGACACTGGGTATCAGCTCCTCCACAGCAAAGGAGCTAAGCTAGCTTACACAAAACATAAGCTACCTAAGAAAGGACACTAGAAAACAAAGCAGCACAGAGGTAAGCTGTGTGATTCCAAAATGCAGTCCAGTTATCCCTGAAGGGCAGGAGCAAACACAAGGGCCCTCACTCAAGTGTAGGAGCCAAAACTCCACCCTCTTTCTCCACACCATTCGGCTTCTTCTAGTATTCTTTATCAGTCTACTTATTTGCTTAGCATAATTAAGTCTGTAGAAACTCAGAGAGAAACATTAGCATGTACTGTGATGCACACAGGCCACTGTGGACACACCACACCACTCTGAACATACCCACACCATTGTGTGCATCGATGCTGGTGAACTCCAATGTGCCATCGTGACACCTTTTGGGATCTTCTTTGTACTCTTTATGAACTCCATCTGGGCAGTATCGATAAGCAAGCCCATAATCCACCAAATACACCTATAAATTTCCAAGCACCAAATTAAAGACAAAAATCAATGTACACGTATTAGTAGAAAGTACTGAAAAAAAAAAAAAAATACAACCACCTGGCGATAGTTCACCAGCAAGGGCTAACAGCAGCCCTCCAAACAGTCAAACTGAAAATGAGCACTGTGGCAGGTCCTGAGTGTCCCCACCTCCGCTGCAACGCTGGGGACAGCACCTGAAGCTTTATACACGCTAAACGTGAGCTCTGCCGCTGAGCTCTGTCTCTGAATAATTTTTACTTGTAAAAATCTTATTTTGTCTGAAGTATTAGAGTCTAACTCAGGACATTCTCTATCACTGAGAATTCTTCTCCCACACAAGAATTTTTACTTTTTAATAAATGTTAAATGACTATGAAGCTACAGTGCTTGGATATTATTTTACTTTTCATACTTTCTTAGAAAAGTATGTGGTAAACTTTTAATTAATCGTTTCTCCATGGGGAAAAGTTTACAGATGTTAAGTTTTTCTTACAGAGCCTAGAACAAAACTATCACCCAAAGTAAACTTTCAAGACGTTCCACAAAGAAAAGAGAGATGAACACGGTTAGCACACAATACATCAGCTATCTTCTACTCTTGATTCTTGTAGAATAGTCAAATGTCTATTTATTTTATAAAAATGATTCAAACAATGTTCAAAACTCTTAGGGGAGGTCTTTACCTACATCTTAAATACTATATATTAGAGTCAAGTCCTCCAGATTAAAGATAATTTAAAAAACAGATAGAGGAATCCTGTGGACATAGCCTGTTGCTCTGAGCAGCAAACAGCATTAGCACATGTGGCTTCCATCTGACAGCCATACATTCCTGCTGACGCTGTCACAAAGGCATGCACACATATGCACGTGAACACAAAGATGGACATAGTACTGAGAGAATAATCCCAGCCACAGAACATGTTTGAAAGGTAAGAGAGCTGCACATGGCTACTGTGTAAACAAAAGCTGCTCACATGAGCCAAATACAAACTAACAGGAGTCAATTTTTTAATAGAACTTTGCAAGTCCTTCCTCCTCCAACTAAAGAAACCTTTACTGCTCAGGCTCGTGGCCGTGTTCAAGGAAACAGCTCAACTGAGATGACTGGGGACGCCTCACAGTACACTCCAGCACAGCGGCTTTCGCTTGGTGCACTACACAGAGCCCTTCTGCTCCCCAGAGATTAGAGAGGGAAAGCAAATACACCGTAGTAGAAGGAAGAGAGCTAACGGGGGAAAAGTGTAAGCAAGAGGTGGTTATAGACCCACATGCACAGAATGCTGGCAGATCACTGCACCAAGCCAAACACTCAAAACGTCCTTCTTACACACGACCAAGTGACTCTAAGCAGTGTCACCTACAGGCAAATCTAATTCATTGTCCACTAAGTAATTTTAAGCTTCCCCCAAAAAGGGCTCCTTGAAATGCATTTTGTACCAAGCACTTCCTCTGAAGAAGTAGTGCTATTAGTGTATCTGTTTAAAAACGCAGCACTGGTAAGGGTTCAGTCCAGGATACCCTACTTGCTCTCAAGCAGCATGTTATACAACAGTCAAAACTGAAGTTCTAAGGACCTGGTCAGGGTTCTTGTAGCTCAGAAGAAGGTTGGAGGCCTTGATGTCCCCGTGCACGTACTCATGCTCATGGATGTATTCCAGGATATCCAGCTATGGAGAATACACACAGTGAGTTAACGCAGTACCTAACACGGCCAGCAGAGGACTGAGCTGCAGCAGAAACCAGCCCTTACTGTATTCACAACAAGGAGCATAGCTCACATACAATTCTTAAGCTTAGCTGCAAGACAGTTTTCCGAGAAAACCTTTTGGCATTTGCTTCATAGATTTTCTGAAGGTCACTCCCAAAGCGGTCCATGATCATAAACCTGTAACTGAAGACAAACAAGAAAAGTCAGTGCGGGAAATAATCAGGCACATGTACTTACAGTGAATATTCTCCCTTCAGATTATGTCAAGTTAATGCTTAATAAAGCAGTATTATAAATGAGGAGAAAAGGGGCATGAACACACACCATGAGGAATTTCCCCCAACTAGACAGAAATCTCAAAAATTCAGAATGTTGTACTGTCCTGTCTCCAGGAACTCTTCCTAGACTCAGCTAATTTTACAAGAAACAACATTCAACTTAAGACAGTGCCTCCCCAGAATCTAACACTCATCTTCAGTGAAACACATCCACCAGGCTTTGAATGAGGACACTGATTCTTCTCGTAGAGTTAACTGCTATTTCTAGACAGGAGCTTCCTTCCTGTGGCTGCATCTCCATTTTTAAGGCACATTTCAACAATAAATGTTCTGCTAAATCTAGGCTGTCAGGAGACACCTTACAAACTATATTCAGTAAAACTATTCAAATGGCATAAAGTGATTATGTATTAAACAGTTGGTGGTCACGATTTGGAAAGAGAATATCCTGTGGAAATGAAGATTTTTGGTCTTGCCATCATCCTGCTTTGCACCTTGATCGGGTGATAATACTCCCTTAGGCCATAATTTCTGGAGAAGTGGAATGAGGAGGCAGGTCTCATCCTTCCTAGAGATTCAAACTCTAGGAGTGCAGAGAGATGCACTGAAGACTCCTTTGAACATCACTCTCACCTCCAACAGTTGTCCAAATTCTAATTCTAATGTGTCTATGTAAATCATTAAAACAGACAAACAAGACAAAGCCCCTCTCATGGGATGAGCCTATGCCACAGCCATCAGTCATCCACGGCAGGTGCAATATTGCCCTATTTTACAGAAGAAAACTACCACCAAGGTAGTGTGAACCACTGCTCCACACACTGAAATAATAAACACTGTACACACAAAGTCATGCTTACAAAGTATAGGCTTTATGCAATAAAATACAGTGAGTTTTCAAGGGAAGAAAAACCAGCTAATATTAAAAGATGGTGTGATAATATAAAATATAGGATAGGATCCTACACATTTCTGAATTAGAAGAGAATTAGAGACTGTGTATGTGTATATATATATACATACATACATATATTTATCTTTTAATAAATAAGATACTAATGTTCTAGGAGGTAACATTTATGTTAAAGTTGTACTACCAAGTAGGGGTAAAATTTACTCAACTATGCTAAGATTCCTGCTACCCTGACCTCTACAGTCCTGTGACTTCCCAATATCCTAGGCATGGCAGGTTTTGCAAAGCTGAGAGAGAAGAGTGGGATATACACATTTGACTTTATAAATGAGTTAACCTGTGTAATGACTACAATACTTTGAATAACAAAGAACAACCTTTGCCAACAGTCTGTATCTTAGGGTTACTACTGCTGTGATGAAACACCATGACCAAAAATCAAGCTGTGGAAGAAAGGGCTTATTGACTTTCACTTCCGTATCACTGCGCATCAACGAAGCAAGTCAGGATAGGAACACAAGCAGGGCAGGAACCTAGAAGCGGGAATTGATGCAGAGGCCATGGAGGAGTGCTGCTTACTGGCTTGCTTCTCCTGGCTTGCTCAGTCAGCTTAAAGAACCCAGGACCAAAACCCAGGGACAGCTCCACCTACAATGGACTCTCCCACATTAATCACTAATTAAGAAACTGCCCTACAGCCAGATCTTACAGAGACATTTTCTCAAATGAGGTTCCCTCCTTTCAGATAACTCTAGCTTGTGTCATGTTGACCTAAAACTAGCCAAAACAGTCTAGAAGAGGATAAACACAGTTTGATTCAACACAGGAACTACTACTAAAGCAGACTGAGCAGGTCTTTGTTCTTATGCACAGATCACCTGCCAGTAATTCTGAAAGGCCCCTAAAATCTTCTCATCATTTCCAAATGTTAAACAAATGATGCACAAAACTGTTAGGAAGCTCTCCAGAGAGAGCGCTAGGGTAGAATAGTGAGGAAAAGTGACCTCTGAAAATGTCTGTCAGGTAAGGCCTTTGATGCTTTCTTTTCTAGGGACTTGGTTAAATGTTTCAAGCAATAAAAAAATATCAATCAGTAAAAACAATTCCAAAATGGTATCAGCAAGCATTTTTAGAATTCTCATACTGCTCTAAGCTACCTATCACTCCCACACATGCTAAAGGAAAAGCAAGGGCATCTAGCAGGAGAGGAGGCTAGGAGAAGATCCCCAGTTTCTATTTCTTCCTTCTGAAAGCCATACATGATTATTTTTGGTGCTTGAACCTAAGAGTCAACACTTTAGTCATGACCACTCTGGGTCTTGAGCATCACTGAGGAAGGCCTAGCAACCTCCATTTTGAGAAGGAATGGTCATTACTAACAACAGACCGAGACACAAGCTGCACACTGTTGAGCTGTAGTCACCCTCTCTGACTACTCTGAAGCCTTGTGAACACAGCCAGCTTTCTCCCCGCTGCCTCTCTCCAGCCCTGACCATCTCACAGCACACTGTTCCAGTAAAACCACCTGTAACAAAATGGCACAAGATTCCAGGGAGCCCCAGACTCCCTGAAAGATGCATGGTTCTCTAGTAAATAAAGCCAGCAGTCCTACACAATGGCTGTCCCATTCTCAAGCCTTTGCTAACACAGCACCAATTTGACGTGGGCATTCCATCCTATTCTGTTTAACAGTGTCTCTCACCAAGACACTTGTGACCTGTATGACCGCTTGGTTCTTGCCAACGGCAGGTTCATGCATAAGAATTATAAAACTGTGATCAAGAAAATGTTTGCGGAAGTCTCACAGGACTCCTCAAAATGTTCCTTGGTAGGAAAGGGAAACTCACAAGACACTGACACTGATTTCAGACACTGGGCACTCTGCCTGCATGTGAGGTGTAGAAATGGAGTGGTCTTCCCAATATTATCAAAAGGAATGATAGAGCACTGCCACCATGAGGGTAACCGCAAGACAGGCAGAAATGTACCCACAGTCCCAGCACTCAGAAGGAGCAGGCCGCGGCTCTTCAGTGACTTGAGGCTAAGTTTAGAAAGCAGACCCTGGCTCAAAAAAGTACAAAGCATGTAATTGGGCCCTTGATGACTGCTTAGGAGCTGAATGAATCCCAGATTTCCTTCGCTTACTGCAAACACCGTTCTAACTAGTAGACTAGTCTCCAGTTTCTAACTCAGCCTGGCCTTCAGTCTCCTACAAGCTCTGTTCCATTCAGTTGAACTTGCCCATTCAGACAATTCACAAGTGCAGAACGCACAAAAGCGTGAGGGCTTTTCTCCAACTGCTATCCCTAAGACACCTAAGAGGAAAGGTTACTCAAGTAAGCACTTAGCTTTTCTCTATATTTCAGAAAGGCTCTCTCTAAATGACTGTTACCTCTACCTAGAGAGACTACAGCCCTCATTAAGAATGGGACTCTACTTCTGGGACAGAAAGACACACATGGTATATACCCACTCATATAGACATGTAATATAGGATAAACCTACTAAAATCTGTACATCTAAAGAAACTAATCAAAAGAGAGGACCTTGACTAAAATGCTCAATCCCCATCCCGAAAGGCAAAAAGGAAGGACATAAGAAGAAGAAAACAGGAAACAAGCTAGAAACCCACCACGGAGGGCCTCTGAAAGGCTCTACCCTGCAGACTATCAAAGCAGATACTGAGACTTATGGCCAACTGTTGGGCAGAGTGCATGGAATCCTATGTAAGAAGTGGGAAATAGTAAGATCTGGAGAGGACAGGAACTCCACAAGGAGAGCAACAGAACCAGAAATTTGAACACAGGGGTCTTCCCAGAGACTTATACTCCAACCAAGTACCATGTATGGAAATAACCTAGAACCCCTGCACAGATGTAGCCCATGGCAGTTTAGTGTCCAAGTGGGTTACACAGTAATGGGAAGAGGGACTGCCTCTGACATAATCTGATTGGCCTGCTCTTTGATCACCTCCCCCTGAGTGGGGAGCAGCCTTAGCAGGCCACAGAAGATGAAAATGTAGCCACTCCTGATGAGATCTGATAGACTAAGATCAGAAGGAAGGAGAGGAAGACCTCCCCTAACAGTGGACTTGGGGAGGGGCATGCGTGAAGAAGGGGGTGGAAGGGTGGGGTCAGGAGGGGAGGAGAGAGGGGCTTATGGGGGGATACAAAGTGAATAAAGTGTAATTACTAAAAATAAAAAATAAAAATAAAAATAAAAAGAACGGGACTCTAGTTTCCATGGAAGATTGGGCCTTCAATATGGGATCTAAAATAGAAACCTGAGGGCTCTTTTGCATAGAGCAGGAGAGGAGGAGTGTACTCTTTGTTCCTGGGTAGGCTTTGTTCCATAGGTTAGCATTTGACAGGGCCCCCCCCCACACACACACACACACTGTGGTGTACAGAGAAGATCAGACATAAGTTTCAGTCCTCCTCACTTATGCCCTACAGTGTCCAGAGGCACACCTACAGATATTATAGGTGCTCAGCAAGTAACTCCTGACTCGACAGGAAATGCTCAAAATGGAGACTTTTACCTTTTTCCATTTTTATCATGTAGACCAGATCCCCAATACTTAGGAACACCAAGGTACTTCAATTTATGTGTACGAATCCATTTCTGAACTAGAAGTTAAAAGAGAAGGCTGTGATTTCAACTGCTGTATGTAAATGGTCATTTCAGAACAGATTACTAAGAGCAGAGCATACTTACATGTGAAACAAAACCACCTCTAAAATATATATATATATATATTATATATATATAAAATCACACACACACACTATCCTTTTTCAGGGCAAAGTATAACCCACAGATTGTAATTTAAAAAGTTAACCAACCTGCAATAATAGTGCCCTGACGTTACCTATCTTGAAACTGTCCATCTGTGAAACCATTTTTAATGCATAAAGCAACAGCACTGCATCGTCAGTCACCTCCTGATTATGCAGTTTCTTGCTTCCACAGGAAGACTTTCACCAATCTCTAGAAATGTGGGGCTGTCTCCTTCAGGGTTTAGGTCTCTCCCTCACTTGCAAATGAAGGTGCAGAAGAGCTGGAGGTGCTGCTCCTGCTCCCTTCTGTTAGGAAGTACCTCAGATGAAGCACAGATGACAGCAGCGGGAGGCCCTGTTCACAACACTCCCTGTGTCTCAGCAAGACCAGTGCCCACCCAAGCTCATGTGCTTCAGGATTTAGCAAAAAATGCTCAAGAGTTAAGAGACCTTGTACTCACACTTGTGAACTAGGTAGATTCAAGTATTTCCTAGGTCACATACCACTAACTGTCTCACATACCAACAAACCATATATTAATATGACAAGTACACCAATACATCAGAATGACTTCATACAAATATCATGTGAATGGTATTTATGGATAAATCAAGTGAAAACAGGGTCATAAGATGTGATACTTAAGCTCAGCTTATGTGAAATAAAGCCAGGTACACTGCTTATTTAAACGTATAAACCTTTAACAAAACAATGTTAAATGTGTTTACTGTATCTTACTTTGCTCTGGTTTAGCAGCCCGCTGGTAGAACTTTAATTCAGTGAAAAGAGGTCCATTGTCACTGGGTTCCTTAGAATACAAGAGTCAATTAAAATTATTGAACTACTGTCTTTGAGCCTTTAAACTGAGTAAATCTAACTTTTCCTACAAACTTTGATACTTAAATTTATAAACTATTAAAAGATTAAGCTCAACTCCTTAGAAATATTTTACATGTTCTCACAATAATCTTCCTTTCTCTTAAGCTCAACTTTCTTAAGTGATAAATTACACAATATCAGAAATATAGTTCAGTCTTTGCAGAAGTTTAAGGCAAATGTTTAAACTAATTTTCATCTTTATTAAGCAAAGGCCAGCAACCATGCTAAGTGTATCACCACCAGAAGCTACAAGACATTTCTTGAAGTTTAATAAGATTCCAACAACTGACTTAACCAATTAAGGGCAGGATCCTATTCCTTTCCCTCCCCCTGGCATGGTTCTCCATAGTTATCGGAACAACAGGCATGTATCTGCACCCCCAGCGACCAAAATGTTGTGCCCTCCCTTCTCAGTCGGACAATGATTCCTCTTTCTCAGACCAAACAACCCTACCACTTTTAAAGTCAAAAAGAAACTGGAGCTAAATAACTGCTTTCCCCAACTTTACTAGACAATATCTATTTTGTATCTCAGAAATATTAACCATTTAAATTACTTGTAAAGAGGCAAACATTTACAAAAGGATATTTTACACAAGAGATAATAGCCCATAATGAGTTTCATGTTGTTTAACAAATAAGAATAAGAAATATCTTATAATTTTGTTGGCATTTTAAATAGTGAATTTTGTCTGACTGATTGATACAAAACAGTATTTACTTAATGTTTGGTTTTTATACTGATTTAAAAGCAGTGATAACTTCAAACATGAAAGCTAACATTTCTAAAGTAATCTGAGCAAGGTATTTGAGACAGAAAATCTGCACAGCTAGAGTTAGGGTTCCAAGCTCATTAGAACTGGCAAAGACCTGAGCTGCAGCATGACAGTGTGCATTCCCACTGCAGAGATGCCTGCTCCAAATGCTGAAATGCACCCATCCACTTCCTCTTCATTGAGGAAACCTCAACTACTACAGAAGTTAATTTTGGTCCTTGAGGTGTCAGCAAAAACCTTTATTACATTAAAAGTTCTATCAACTCAGATGTGAGGGAATTCGAGTAACAGGTTTCTCCAGTAACTGTGTTTACAGGCCTCTGCTCCTCTGCAATCAAGCAGGACCTAGCCATAAGAAAGCATTTAAACCACAAATGGGCAAATCAGAAAGAACCTAAACAGTTCACCATATTTGTTGCAGCTCAGCCTCAGAAGAACGCTGTTCAAGAGCTTAGTGTGCCACCAACCCCCACAGGATCAGATCCATACACACACGTGTGAATGCCAAACCCCTGATCGATGTGCTAAGGAAGAAACTCTCCCATACCTGTGGCTCCTTTCCAGAAACATGAGCGAATGTTTCAAGCCAATGACAGAACCAGTGTAAAAATGAAGAACGTGAAAACTAAAGGAAAGGAATCTCGGTTGATTTTCACAATGACTCATTAATAAAACTCCAGCTTAAAGGACGCTTTCCCAAGACCATTCCTGGCTTATTACCAACAGTCTAAGATTTTTTATTTCTTCAGTTTCAACTTACATCATATCAACTTTAATCAACTTTCAAGTTCCCTTCAAGCAATAATTTATTAAACTTATAATGCAAAACAACCATATAAGTCAGGACACTGTAATGAAGGCTTTCTGAGCACTTCCACACATTTTCTACCCAATAGGCTTCCATTATGACAAAGTAAAGGAGCTACTTCTTGGCGCTGTGCTCTAGCTGAAACGAGCTATCTGTGGAGAAAATACCTTAACTCAGAACTAAAATTGTATTAACATATTTCAAATCTAAAATACTTTGCCAACTCTATAATAGCCAAGTTTTAGAAAAGAAATTGGGACTGACATTTTAACTAGAATATCACTAAACGTTTCCTTAAGACTTCTAAGTGTCAAAATGACGATGACAACAGGAAAAAAAATTAAAATGTGATATATTTCAATGGCACCATCCAAAAGCAACTGGCTGCCATTTAAAAATGAAGCTGTATAAAGTTTCTCCTTCTTACAAAAAAAAAAAAAAAGGATGTCTGAATTGAAAATCCAGAACACTCATCACAACATCAGGCAACGTCCTCCCCAGGAGGCTGTGAGATACAGACCCCATCAGTTCTCCAAGCAAAGGACCATGGAACACCAGCTCTTAGGTGGCATGAACTGAAGACTCTCTTCAGGCTTCCAACTCTGCTCCCACAAAGGTGAGAATAACCCAGAGAACTAATTTCTTACTAACTCTTAGGTTTGCTGGGCAAGGGAAGAATCAGAATATTTTCTACTCATATTATCCAACTTACTTATTTACGGCTTCTTTCTGGCCATCTACTCTCATATGCACAGATATGTGCATGTGCACTCATAGCCTCTGAAGCAAATATAAGCTAACTGGGTGCTATCCCACAGCTGCTTGCCTCAGTCAAGGATGAAGTCCCCAAACAGAAATGGAGACCACTCCCGGACAGGAGGGAGTGTGTTGGAGATGCTGAGGCATCTAACTCGCATATGTATGTTATTCACGCCAATGCCAAATGAAGAAGCTGGTGTAACCAGAACTCATTCACAAAGCAGGCATGTCAGAAGTAACTGAGTTTTTGAGGTAGAAACCCAGAGCAGACGCATGAGAAAGGACCTCAGAATGAAGCTACAGGTCTGCAGACATCATCCCACCTGACACAGTTAAGGCACACAATGTTCCACAGTCTCCTCTGGTTCTCAATCTGGATACAAAAGAGCACCTGACAGACTTACCAAAGACACCAACGGAAAGCACCGCTTGGCATGTGATTACATAACTTTACAACAGCAACCAATGTAGCTAGAGTTCTTAAATAACTTGCCCACTTTTGCTCTAAAAATAAAATTAGGCAGCTACAGAGGGGTCTGAGAGCCTGATCCAGTTTGACCCACATGATCACTGAGTCACGCACAAATCATGGGAGGCTTCCTTTCTTCTCAGTGGAATCGTGTGAAGACACTCAGGACTAACCTCACCCCACAGGTGTCATGCTTTCCTGTGTACAGGAGACAGGCATAGATAACAGCCCACAACCCCATGCACATGACTAACGCCACAGTTAGAACTCTCACTCCTGGACCTGGCAGCAACCACAATGGTTCAAAAGGAATGTCAATGAGAAACAAAGCTCCAAACTGGAAGGACAAGAGGCAAGGGAACTGGTGGCAGTGGACAGACACAGGCTCTGACTCAGAAGTAGGGCAGAAGCTGACTAAGGCTACGAACACACACTGAGAAGCTCTAGTCTCACAAACTCAAGAGGAGCTCAAGACCTGCCTGCTGCGGGCTAGAATATAAGACGTAAAGTGGGCACCCAGAGGTCCTTGGGTCCAGTGGAGCACACTGGGAACCAAACAGCCAGGGCAGCTGACACCAAAACAAGGAAACTACAAGAGTCCAGTAGAGAAATACTTCTGGAAGACTTAAAAGACCATGATACCTTCAAAATAAGAACACAAACGTCCTCACAAAGCACTTCCAGAAGGACAGAACAAGCCGACCTCAGTTTGCCTAAGTGGGATCTGTGCTACAGGGTTAGTTCAGGATCAGAAGCCGTATTAACAGAATATTAACTGAATAAAGGAGAAAAATCTTATGAGTCAGCTGGAAAGATGTATCAAAGCATTTTTAAAATGAGCAGGTAAACTATAAACTAGAAGGAAAGAGTTACAACATACATATCTGAAAATAAGACGTATCTAGAATAACTCTTCCTACTCAATTATAAAAAGCAACACAACCCAGTTATTAAAAATAACTTCTTAAGGATAAAAGAAGAGACTGAAGAAGCACTTATCACACAAAACCACACACATAAAGAAAGGGCTCAATAGTGTTCGTGCAGAAAATGCAAACGCAACAGCAGCAGACACCACCACCTACCTCCTGTAAGGGCTGGGAAGGAAGCACCCTCAACAAAGCCACTTCCAGCCAGCCCTGGAGCCCTCAGAGCTGTCACCAACCACTAGCAACGTAAAAGCCAGCACAGGCACTACATAAATATGTCCAGAACTCTTTTAAAATTTTAAATGTGAGGGCTAGAGAAATGCCTCAGCGATTAAGAGCACTGGCTGCCCCTCCAGAGGTCCTGAGTTTAATTCCCAGCAACCACATGGTGGCTCACAACCATCTATACTAGGATCTAATGCCCTCTTCTGGCATGCAGGTAGCCTGCAGACAGAACACTCATATATATAATAAATAAATAAATTTTTAAAATGATGAAGGTTTAAATATATGACCTAGGCATTCATCATTCCTTTAAAAAATTAAATATGTATCCTCTCCATAGTCAAGTGATTCAGTTTCTAAGAGAAAAAGCCCATCTCCATCAAAACATCATTCCAAGAATTTATACAGAATGTTTGTTCAAAGTAGCCCATACTGTAAGTAGCGCAAATGCCTACCAAAACATCAATAAAATGCAGTAAATGAGCCAGGCGGTGATGGCACACACCTTTAATCCCAGCACTTACCAGGCAGAGGCAGGAGGAACTCTGTGAGTTTGAGGCCAACCTGGTCTACAGAGAGAGTTTCAGGACAGCCAGGGATAAACAAGAGAAACCCTGCCAGGGGGAGCAGAGCTAAAGATAGTAAATGACCAATATCCTAAAAATACACATGACCCCTTTAAAATATAATCCTAAATACACAGCAAATATTTCATAGTACCCTTAGGTAATGCTCTAGACCTGGGATTCAACTGAAGGATGAGAGCAGGGCTCAAGCACAGGACACAAGCGCTCTCCAGAGGCTTGCCAATGGTCCACACATGCCTGTCACAGTGTTCAAACACTGATTTATTAGCTACATATTTTACTGAAAAATTACACTCCCTAGGAAATGTCTTCAAATTTTTCACTAAAACAAGGGCTATCAATAGCTCAGTGGTTAGAGCACTTCCAGAAAATCTAGAATCGCTTCCCCGCGCCACCTGGCAGCTCACAACCATCTGTAACTCCAGCTTCAAGGAACCCAATGGCCTCTTTTGCTTCAATGGCACCATGCATTCACATGGTGCAGAGACATGGATGCAGGCAAAACACACATAAAGTAAACAAATTAGAAAGAAAAACTCAAACAACTCTGGTCTAAGATACTTGGCTCCTAGGGAGTTGAAGATACTTCTACTTGAATACAATAAAGCAAACTGACAGATTCTGAGGTGCTCCTAACTCCAAAGTTCATAACCTTCAAAAGAAGGTTATGAAAATGGGGACAGGGAATGGGGCTAAGCTCTCCAGCAACCACTCCGCTGGCTCTTATTTAACAAGGGTCTTCACACAGATCAAACATAGGGCAGGCAGAGCTACAAACAATGTGGAACAAAAAGATGCATAGGTACAAGAAAACAAAATCAGTAATTAAGTATAAGCATGCCTCTTAGTTCTCCAGTCAGCAACTGGCCTAGAATCACAGTGTGCTTCTGTCCAATGGAACTAACTGCAGCAAAGAAATCTCTACCACTGCATGGGGTGAGGGGTGGGGGGATCACACTCTTATGAGGAACAAGAAAGGGAATAAAACTGATGGCAGGCAAGATAAACAAACAAATGTCCAGAACAAAGTTAGCTTAGCATGATGTTACAATGATGTTTATATGAATATAAAACGCATCTACCTGGTGTGAACAGCTGGAACAGATATTCCCACTACTGCAGACCTCTCGGGTCTCTCAGACACTCAAATGGTGTCACTCCAGTTCGGGAGAGCTGAAGATTCCAAATCAAAGTTACTTGAAACTACAAAACTCACTGAGTATTTATGAGAGATTTTTCACAATGCACCACCTTATAGTTTAACTAACTCTAGCCATCGAAAAGGTGCTTTACAAAATAAATAACAATTACACTGAGAAAAGAAAAGAATGGACAATATTTTCTTACCACTTTCACAACACAGGGCGCATCACTGCCAACCGGTTTGGAAGAATTTGTGTCCGCTGTTTAAAAAGTGAGACAGTCACATCAGAACAAGCAGCATTGCCACAGGCAGCATGACAGACACTAATGCTACAGCCCTGCGACCCTCTCAAGAGTGAATCCCGATAGGAGCTCCACAAGGACCAAATATATCTGGGCACAGGGGTCTTTCTGAGACTGACACTCCACCAAGGACCATGTATGGATGTAACCTAGAACCTCTGCTCGGATGAAGCCCGTGATAGCTCAGTAACCAATTGGTTTTCCCTAGTAAGGGGAACAGGGACTATCTCTGACAGGAACTCAATGGCAGGCTCTTTGACCTCCCCACCCCCAAGGGAGGAACAGTCCTGCTAGGCCACAGAGGAGGACTTTGCAGCCAGTCCTGAAGCTACCTGATAAAACAAGGTCAGATGAAAGGGGAAGAGGTCCTCCCCAATCAGTGGACTTAAGGGAGGGGCACGGAGGAGATGAGGGAGGGAAGGTTTGGAAGGGAATGAGGGAGTGGGATGCAGCTGGGATGCAGAGTTAATAAAATGTAACTAATAATAAAAAAATAAAAAATTATAAAAAAAAAAGAGTGAATCCCAGCTCCCAAATGGCATTTCAGAGCATCATTACAACACTGTGCCTAGTCTAAGGCTTTCTTCATGTGTAGAATGTATCTAGCAATTTTAGGTTCCTTCAGTGTAATCAGTTGTTACAAGAAGTTGTTATACACAGTTAAAACTATTTCTTTCATTCAGAAGTCCTCTGTCCTTTGGTATTCTGATTCACTGTGAATTTCTGAAGGATGAGGACTGGTGGAATCCCTAGGTCTAGCCAGCTGGAAAACTATTTAGGAAAGAAGGTCTAGCAGCAGAGGGCCTAGACACTGGTCAGTCCGGAGCAACACTTGAGGCACTGCCATGCAGAACGAGAACAAGTACCCACATTATGTCATTTTTCTAAGTTTTCAGAAACTACAAGTGGACAGAAAAAAACAATTTTAATTTCCTTCCACTTCTGGCTATCATTTGAGCAGTAAAATGTAAACATCAAATAAAATATAAAGTATGTCAGATGTGATGGGAGAAATGGTGGGAAATTTTAAACAGTGAGGGAGACAGGCAATGTTGCAGTGTGCTAAAGGAGCCTGGAGCATCACTAAAGCCATGAAGCAGTATAAGCCACGGGTCTTCACAGAAACAGCATTCCACATGGACTTCCACCAGAGGCCCCAATAGGGGAATGTGTTACATGAATTTGTAAAGCCAGGAGACCACACATACAGAGAAAACATGACGCAGAAAGTGCAGAAGAACCACTAGAAAAGCAGCAGGAAATAAATAAGGGCTTAACAGACAATGTTGGGGCTGCTGCTATAACTGAGACGTGGAGCCTCCAGGGTTTTGCCAAAAGGACTAGCATGATACAACTTTGATTGGGCTGCTTGCGAGAACTGAGTATAGGCCAAGAGCAGAAGCAAGCAAAGCAGTGGGCAGAGTGTGGCCCTGACAGCTGTGTAGGGCCAAGGTGGTACTAGCAACAGTGATCAAAAACTGAAAGGGCAGCTAACAGGACCTTGATGGACTAGATACAAAAAGTGAGGTGCTTTTAGGGCTTGGGCAGAAAAATGCACAAAAGCTGCAAATGAAAAACACAGGGGAGAGTGCTTTGGGGTATCTTATTTGAGATGCTTGCTAAATATCCAAGTTCAGATGCTATTAATGATTTTAATCTAAATGTCAGCAGGTTTGTCTTTTGAACACTTACTCTCATCTGGTGGTACTGCTTCGGGAAGCTGTGACCCTTGAACAGGTGGAGCCTAACCCAAGCAAGGAGCTTATTGGCTGAGGACCTCTGACAGCTAGTTACAGGCCTGGCCCCTAGTTCTGACCTACACTGTCTACATCCTGGTCTGCTGTGCTGGCGACAGCTGTCCTCTACCATGCACTCCTGCCAGTACCATGTTCCCCTCACGTATGAGCTGCAACCGTAGACTCAATGTCTAACCATGAAATCCTCCCACTTAGGGTGCTTCTGCCATAGTAACATAAAGCTTCTAATGCAGACCTTAGCTGCCATTACAGATACAAGTCTCGAGCTCATCAGTGATTAGCAGAGACACTAGCTATCATGTTGAGGATCTAGTTCAGTGAGACAGTGCATGTATGTTATACATAGGTGAGGTGTAGGTTCAGTCTCTAGCAAGTTTAAATGAAAAGGCTATGTATTTAGAGCCTCACACTGAAAGAAAACTCCTTGGGAATGAAGAGAGAGAGAGAAAAGAAATGCTAGGATTGGTCCCAAAGGCACTCTCATCTTAGAACAGAGGACAGGCAGACAGAGAGAACAGGCAATGGAAACCAAGGAAGAAAACCAAACAAGAATTGCAGCCACAGCACTCAGACACAGGAGAAACACCAGCTTCTTGAAACACTCTCTCGGCAAAGGAAGAGCTCTGAGCTCCCCAGGAACAGCCCCAGGGAGCAGCACTTAGATACTGAATTAGTAATAAGGCAGGTTCAGAATCTTATAACAAAACATGAAAATGAAGACAGCACCCTACTAATACTGTACACTCAAATGAGAAAAGAGAAAGGAAATGCAATGATTAATCCACAATACATGCACATACTACACAAAGAAGACAAGAGCTATATCTTGTCAACAGAATAAGTATGTACACGGCCTGCCCTAAACTCAGCTTTGGAAAAGAAAAGTAGCATTCTGTAAAATCAAGATGGAGAGAGATCCACACTTCAGATAGTATGCACAGTTGCTGCTGCTGATCTTACACAGGGCAGTGTCAGTGTATCAGTGCACACAGATACAAGCAAATCCTCCTCTCCAGACAGGGAGCAAAGTCCTAAGTCACAGATTGTTCATTAGGTATTAAAAATGCTTAGAGTTGACAGCACCTGCTAATGACAAAAATAAAATATCCAAAACACACATGAATCAAGTTCCAAATTTGCAAAAGGTTGCAAAAGCAATGACACTGAAATAAAAGAGCACACTGTAGCACGGAGGCTGGAACACAGATTTTAAGAAGATAAAAGGGACAAGCTACTTAGCAACAAGTCTTGTTAATGAACTCCAATGTCCTGCAGCGACCACAGCACCTCCTCTAAATCCGAAGCTTGAACTCTGCATTGGGCAGAGAGAGCTAACCCATAAAAGAACCCATAAAAGGTGGCAGTGGACACAGCTGGTAGCACTATTGGGGGAAGTTCTAGATACGTTAGGAGCTGGGACACGGCTGGAAAGATCACTGGGTGGTGGGAGCCATCAGTGATTTTTGCGCTGGAGCCTTCCATTGCTTCCTGTCACATGTGCCTGCCATCATGACACCCTACCCAAACACATGGGTGTGGAGCAAAACAGCATGGACCAAATCCTCTGAAATAAGGAACCACAATGACCATGTCTGTCGGCACACCCACTTGGGATATTTTATCATAACAATGTGAACATTCCATGAACAGCTACTTTATATGATTCATGAAGATTTTTAACTTACTTAAAGACTTTTAACTTTTTAGCCTATTTCATTATGATTCCTACTCATTAGGATGACATTCTAATGAAGTACAATCTCTACCAGGAGGCTTGTGTTCAAGACATGGTGCAAAGTGCTGTTTGTAGGCTGTTTCATGAACAGGAGTGCAAAGCACAGCTCCCTGTCATAAAGTGAACTGGCGATCAAGTGAAAGCAGCTGCTCTTCTATTATGGCTCTCAAATCCCAGTATGACCCGATCATACAGAGAGTATGTTCAAACGGCACTGCAAGCCTTCCCCATGGTCTCTGAATCATGGGTAGGGCGGAATACAAGAATGGCAGTTCTAACAAGTTTACAGATGATGTGAACCCTCACTGTAAGACTGGCATCCCAAGTCAAATGTTGCTTGAAAGAAAAAGGTTTCATTTTATACTATGTGAAGAAAGAAAAGTTAAGTAGTGTCATTTTATACATTTTACATCTGTGGCCTTTTAAAAATATCTATACATTTCATTTTATGTAAACTACTGTTAAAAAACAAATTTTGAAACTTTCAGAGTGATGGCTCAATGGTTAGGAGTACTGGCTGCTCCTCCAGAGGACTGGGGCTCAATTCCTACCATCCACATGGTGGCTCACAACACCTCTAACTCCTGTCCTGGGGGATCCAACTCCTTCTTCTGACCAGTGCCAAAAATAAATACTTTTTCAACGGGCATAGTATCATACACTTTTATTCCAACACTTGGGCAACACAGAGGCAGAGAATCTCTGTGCACTCTGAGCCTCACAGGTTCATAGTGAGGCGATATATCAAAAAAAAAAAAAAAAAAAAAAAAAGAAGAAGAAGAAAGAGAGGAGAGAGAAAGAGAGAGAGAAGAAAGAAAAAAGAAAGGTAAAGGATTCGTTATGAAACTAAATAACAAGTTAAGTAATTAAATCAAGATTAGAGGTAGAAGTACAGTCAGGCCCTACCTCAGCTATATAAAGCCTTAAAAACCAAAATTTGTAACAACAAAAATTAGAATAGAGTAAAACCACAGAATGCAAAGGAAGAGAGAAACATCCAAAGCAAACAGGGTCTGCAGTATATTCTTGCAAGAGTTATTAGGAACAGAGACAGGTGCACATGCAAACAAGGTTTTTTGTTTTTCATTTTGTTCTGTTTTCTTGAGAAAGGGTCTCATTTTGTAGCCCTGGCCGGCCTAGAAATGATAAAAGATCTGTCTGTCAGCCAGTGCTGGAATTAAAAGCTTGCACCAGCACACCCAGCTAGGCAAATCTGTTGTTCTTGATGTTTGAGACAGGGTTTCTCTGTGTAGCCCTGACTCTACAGAACAGGCTGGCCTTAAACTCAAGAGATCATGCCTGCCTCTGCCTCTCGAATGCTGGGATTAAAGGCCTGTGCCACCACTGCCAGCTTTAGGTAAACCATTTTTAGTGTTGATAATTCAGTAAATTCACATAAGACCAGGGTTCTAACTATCCCAAGATAAGCATGCTAACTAATGTACCTAACATAGGTCAAGCCTAAAATGAAGTACAGACATTTTTAAAAACACATAGCTGTAAAGATCTGTAAAATGAGCTAAAGACAGGGTTGCAGTAAACTGAACCTGGCTGAAGTGGAGGAGGAAGGATGGGTACGGCTCTCTTCTCACTGTAAAGAGAGCGTGACTGGACTATGTAGAGATGTTAAAACTCCAAGGATACTGTGCTTATGAGGGACAGTATTACAGTATTTGTTCTTTTTCTGAGATGAGCCATCTTCTACTAATAAGTCAAAGATGAACTTACAATCAACCACACAATCTTAAATTAACACGGATTATCAACAGCACCTTGCAATAGCATAAATGAGAAATTATTCCATGAAAAGCATTTGAATCTTTACACTGATGACTAAAGATCACCATGCACTTACCCAGATATATGCAGCCAAAGCCACCTTGGCCAATAGGCAACCCTAGCTTCCATTCCTTTTTAGACATGTCGGTTATGATCTCCCCAGCAGCAAACTGCTCTGCAAGGCGCCTCTTTGTAGGTCCCTGTCGTCCAGCCTGAGCTGCTTTTGCACGTGGCATTTTCACTGTAATACAAAACAAAGCAACTTTGCTCACAATTATAACCTTGGAAGTGTTCAAAACATTTCCCTGTAGAAGGCTTCTATTCAACAAGGGCTGTTCAACACTAAAGAGAAGAGCATCTACTAATTCTGGTCTAGAACAGCTAGGATCCTATTTGGTTGTCACTAAGCTTTGAAGAGGAGAACATAAATAAAACAATCTATGCAATTATGGAAAGCACTTTAAGTCCCAGAGGCATATCATCTATGACTAAAATACTACTTAGTAACAACAAAACAAGAACTGTTTTGTGCAACTGAGGGAAGGCATGCAAATTAGAATGCACACTACTTAGGAACGCAGCCAAGGAATCCTAAATCTATACAGATGTGCTAAGTACAAGAACAGAAACTACAATCCCAATTAGGTATGTACAAGGGGGAAGGACAAGGGCACCTGGGCACAGAGTAGGTGCTGAATAGGAACAATACACATACAAAGGAGGACAAAGGCTCAGCAGAGAAGTGATACGCACTATCAACTGGCTCCGCAAAGTCTTGGCCATTCAGTGTATTCCTTCTCCCTGGACACCCTAGAGAAGCTGCTCATTCACTTTTCTCACCAGCCCAAGTAAAACAATGTTCTGGGAAGACTGTTTTCCTGGTGGAGAGCATGGCTGGAACCAAAAGCTTTGGATCCCAAGTATGTAAGTGGCGAGTTGGGAAATCTTGACCAAAGCACATCTCTGCACGTCAAGTGCACTCAGGTATAACTCACCACATTATGTATAATTATACGTATACATAAACATGTGCTGTGTGATTCCAAATTCTTCTTTTTATAAATACCAACTCAAAATATTTCCTTAAGAGTCTACAGTTCCCTAAAAGCTGCAGAAGAGATGAAGTAGAGAGAAGAAGGGAGCAACTGAAACAGACTGGCCTGCAACACTTAGAAGGCTATTTCAAATGAGAATCTATTAAGATGTAACATTTTGAACCCAGATACATGAAATATACACATTATATTAAAAGGTTTATTTTCTTAGGATTTGGAGAGGTGGCTCAGTTGTTAAGAGTAGTTGCTGCTCTTCAGTAGTCCAAGGTTCAGTTTCCAACACCTACACGGTAGTTCACAACCATCTATAACTCCAGCTCCAGGTATTCCATGCCGTCTTCTGGTCTCCTCCAGTACCAGGCATGCATGTGGTGCACATACACACATGGGCAAAACAACCATATACATAAAATAAGATAAACATTAAAAAACTAATGATTTCTTGTTTTTAAAGTATGTGTATGAGTGTCTGTCTGTGTGGGTACCTGAAGAAATCTAGGGTGCGGGATCCCCTGAAGCTCGAGTTCCAGGAGGTATGAGTCGTGGGTGCTGGAAGCTGATCCCAGGTCCTTTGCAAGAACAGTATGTGCTCGTAACTGCTAGGTTGTCATTGTAACTTTATCCCCACCCCACACGCACACAGTATTAGCTTGGAAATTTTAGCAAATTCCCACCGATTAATACTATATATGCATGAATTCAATATATGCAAATAAAGATGCTGTGGGTAGCTAATCTTATTGTCAACCTGACTAAATCTGGAATCAACTAAAGCCTAAGAAGGGCTTTTCTTTTATTCTTCCTTTTTGTTTTTTAAGATTTATTCATTATGTATACAATGTTCTGTCTATACGTACACTTGCTCACCAGAAAAGGGCACCAGATCTCATTACAGATGGTTGTGAGCCATCATGTGGTTGCTGGCAATTGAACTCAGGAGCTCTGGAAGAGCAGACAGTGCTCTTAACCTCTGAGCCATCTCTCCAGGGCCCAAAGGGCTTTTCTCGATTGGATTATTTGAGTTGGAGAGATATACTCTAAATCTGAGCCACACCTTCAGATGACAGCCCATATAAAAAGACATGGAAGATGGAAGCTTTTGCTTTTTGTCTGCTTGCCATCACTATCACTGTCAAGCTCATCTATCCTATTGCTGAGGCATTACTTCGCTGGCTTTAGAACCTACTTCTTCAGGATTCCAACACAGACTAGAGACCAGAAGCTCTTTGAAACTTCCCCGGGACTCCAGCAGCAGTCTGGGACTGCTGAGACATCCAGGCTTCTCTTTCTATCAGGAGATAGCCACTGATGAACTAATCGAACCACAGCCTGTAAGCCATGTTAATAAACCTCCTTTTAGTATCTATTCATTCTACCAGTCCCATTCCTTTAGAGAATCCGAATGCAGATACTTTATTAACTGATGAGAAAATCTTTAAATCTAACTTAAAAAAAAAAAAAAAAAACACTGCATTTTCCCAGTTTCAAACTTCTCTGAGGTGAAAAGCGCATCTTCAAAGGAACTAGATGCTGGCACTTCCTCAGATCAGTTCTCTCAAGGTGCTTTTAATCAGTGCTGAAATCTTGCCCAGCAGAATCTTGGTGATAGCCATAGCAACCAAAACTCAAAACACTGAAAAAATATTAACTTCCACATCTCAGTGGCAACTCAATGAACTTGACCACACATCAGCCCCAGCACTAACGTGATTTCTTCTAAACTCCATCCAGCTTTATCAAATCACAGCAGTTTCCCATTTATTTCTTTATAGTTATCAAAACAGTTTTTAAATGACTTTGAAAATCTTCTGTAACTGAAGTGTCTGGACAAATTTTTTCTAGAATTCTTTTCCTATGCAATAAAAATACTGTATTATAAATAAAAAATCTGCCTCAGCATTTACTTCATATAGGTTTATGGTAAATAAAATGTGTTCTCCCCCCCACCTCCAAATAACACTATTAGCTTTTGTTTTTAGTTTTACTCTTGGAACCAGCTACTTGGAACGTACTATAATGATTAAGATCAGGAATGCCACTAAAAGTAGTTCTAGGGAACAGCATCTTATGCCTGGTGAACTCTGAAGAGACACTCTGAGCTTGGTGAGGCCTTCCTGAATCTCTATCTTTCTCTCTCTCTCTCTCTCTCTCTCTCTCTCTCTCTCTCTCTCTCTGTGTGTGTGTGTGTGTGTGTGTGTGTGTGTTTAAATTTATTCATTTTATATATCCCGACTGTAGCGCCCTCCCGGTCCCTCTTTTCTTCTCCACCCCCCCTTATATCCCTCCCTTAGTCCACTGAAAAGGGGAGTCCTCTTCCCCTGCCATCTGACCCTAGCTTATCAAGTCTCATCAGGACTGCCTGGATCCTCTTCCTCTGTGGCCTGGCAAGGCTGCGTAGCCAGGAGGAAGTGATCAAAGAGCAGGCAACCAAGTTCACATCAGAGACAGCCCCTGCTCCTCTTACTCAGGAACCCACATAAAGACTGAGCTACCTCTCTGCTACATACATCTGAGCAGGGGGTCTAAGTTCTCTCCGTGCATGGTCCTTGGTTTAGTGCATCAGTATCTGCAGTTCCCCCTGGGCCCAGATTTTTTGGCTTTCTTGTCTCCTTGTAGAGCTCCTGTCCCCTCTGGGTCCTTCTATCCGGTCTTCTTCCGTAAGACTCCCTGCGCTGTGCCCAAAGTTTGGTGTGAGTCTCTGCACCTGCTTCCATCCCCTGTTGGGTGGATGTCTTTCAGAGGACTGAATCCCTCTCTTACATACCTCCAAACCATACAGGAAAACTCATATAACAAAACTCAGAACCCTAAGAGAACATCCACAGCAAAATTGGGAAATGGTTTCCTGTCTCCCAACACAATGTAAATGGATATAGACAAGGCTGTACATACAATTCTCAAAACTTCAGAACACTGTAGTACACACAGGAAACCTCTGGTTCAAGAGAAGATGCTGGCGCTACAACCAAAGTGAGCTTCAGAACAACAGCACAAAGAAGAGTTTAAGTAAACTCCCAGACTTTGAACATGACCCAAAACTGAATACATGGACAACAGCTGGCAACAACTTGCAATTGGGAAGCCACATCCCACACAGGTAACCACGGCGGGGGGGGGGGGGGGGGGGGGGGGGAGGTTCATCCCTTCAGAAAAACATTTTCTGCTCCCCCACTTCAGAAAAACAACTATGGCTATTTCAAAACAAAATTAAAATGTCAGCTAGGTGTGGTTCTGTTAACCAAGAATGCTGTATGAAAATGTGGGATGACACACAGGAGGACAGCAATCTCTCATTAATCCTTCCAGCTATCCACAGTCAAACAAGGTCAAAAATTCTAAACACAAAATTCCAGAAATAAACAGTTCATAAAATTTAATACTGCATGCCATTCTGAATACTGGATGCATGCAGAGCCAACCCTCCTCCGCCCATGGATGTGATTCAACCACACTAAAGTATGCTACCCTCCCATGAGTCCCAGGAGCCATCTCAGTTACAAAGTGATGGTGATATCCCAGTGCTAGCACATAAGAGGCAAGCCAACAGCTCTCCACTACCTCACAATGGTCACTCGCCTCACATTATCTCACTAATCTCACATGAACAGTGAGTACAAGGAGACAGATGTCTGAGATGTGGAAATCACAGGTACCTCACATCAGACCCTCTCTGACTGCTTTGTTCTTGGTTACTGCCATTACTCTTCTTTACTCACCTCATAAAGTAGGACTGTATTATACACATTGGTCAGCAGCGTCCATAGGCAGCATGACCAGGCATGGTTTCCAGGGTCCCCTGGAATCTTGGAATGACTCCCCTGGATAACAGAGGCCTGCTAGAATTGGGTGACATCCCTTAATCTAGTATTCCTTTGCTCCTTAAAAGTCACAAAGACGGAAGTGACAGAAATGAGAGGTACACTTTAAAATGCTGTACTTAAAACTAGACAGAGGGTCAAGAGCAAAAGGATCAAGAGGTCAGAACCTGACAAGGCTACAAAGAGAGAAACTGTCTAAACAACTGTAACTTACTTGAAATTGCCTATTATGAAAAGCATACATATACAAGCCTTCGTATTTAGCAACCCCACTCATAAATATGCCTAGAAACATTAACCAACTTAATACATATATCCCCTAGCATATGGACTATATGGAAACACTATTTCCATTAAAAGAAACTTCT